ATAATAAGATGCTCATCAAAAGCTCATCATAAGACGAGCTTTTGTCAACCGTGCGTTCCTCTTAGTAAGACTCTGGCTACTCCTTGCCTACACACAAGAGCAGATCAAGTGGTCTACGTTAAATAACAGGCAATTAAATGTCTGTTGGGCCAATTTATACCTAATGTAGGCAGCTTCCCGGAACCATTTTTCTGGGGCGGTGTGGTGTAAGGGAAGATAATTGGGAAAATGGTACTGTTGCAGGTGTGCAACACATTTTGTACATCCCAATTGGTAGCAATACTGATCCAGAAATGTGCAACAAAGCAGCCATACCATCAGTTCGCGGTAAGTCATCCGGAGACAGCCGGGCCAGCCCAGTGGCCACCGACGGCGGACGGGAGCAGAGCTCACACAAGCAACATATGACAGAATGGTCTTCATTCTGTGGCTTGGTTTTCAAAGGAAAATCTCCAGTTGTATGACGTTCGACACCTGGTTTTTGGCCGGTTCAAGCTTCCGAATTTGTTTTCGCCTGAAATGCCCGCGAACAGTCCTGTCTCTTGAAAAGCAGCCAGCGAAATAAAGGCGCATGCAAAATCTGTTGTACTGTGAGACATTGATTCACTTTCAAAACTCTCACCAACCTATGCCTGGGTCATATTTTGGCATCTACCCTGTGGAGGCAGATGCCTCCTCAATGACACAAAATGCCTACCTGCTCGTGGAATTTCGCCTCCCTTGGAAAGGCAACTCAAAATGAAATAATAATCTAGGGAAGCTAGATAGCCTTATTTGCCGAATGACACAAATGATTCAGATAGGCGAGAGCGTGCAGCAATGAGAGGCAGCTCTAGATGCATATCTAGAATATCAGTCTTTAAATTTGGATAAAGAGCGATGACCTCTATCTCTACTCCGCCCCCCCCCCCCCTCAACCTCGCCCATTGGGCATGTTTTCCAGAAAAAGTTCCTGAATTATGCCCGGACGACATCTTCAGAGACGAGAGTACTGTTCCCGTCGAATACGTGGAAGCTCATCTCCGACCATATGGTGTAGACTGTAAATCGGCTTTATGGGTGTCCAATGGTGCTCGGGAGCTGGGATTGCGGGTTCGAGACGAGCGCGGACAACTGATGTGGAGGAGGGACAACGGGGTCGCGGATGCGCCGCGGCCGCTGATGAAGCGAGGTGTGTTCTCCCTGTGTGGACGCCTGGTCGGTCATCTACCCGTCTGCAGTTTGCTGCGAACCGCCGCCTCGTTTGCTAAGCGTCTCGCGAACTCCGTGACGTCGTCGTGGGACGAGGAAGTGAAGGACGAGCGTGTGCTCGCAATGGTGGGTGAGATGTTGCAGCGTACGAAGGAGGCCGACCCAGCGGGTGGACAGTGGGACGAGAATGGTACTGAGGCCACAGTGTGGGTAGACGCGAGCTCGCTGGCGGCGGGGGGCGGTGCCCAAAGTGGATGGTAATATTGTGGAAGACGCGAGCTGGCTCCGACGTGATGAGTGCGCCCGCATAAGCGTGGCCGAGTTGAACGCTGCGCTGAAAGGCTTGAACCTTGCCATTACGTGGGGAGTACAGGCCATGCAGGTGTTCACGGACTCCCGCACTGTCTTTCACTGAGTCACGGACGCCCTCTCAGGTAGAGCTCGACTGGGGTAAAGGCTGCCGCTGAGAGGTTCATTCGTCGTCTCCTGGAGACAGTGAAGACGGTCATCGAGGAGTACGAACTGAGGGTTAGCGTCGGCTTCGTCAATTCCTGGGAGAACAAAGGGGACGCTCTCGCTCGAGTGCCGCAGAAGTGGCCTTCGGCGGCTTCAAACGGCCCCGTCTGCGTGGTTATCGTCTACGAGTGGTTGGAAAAGGTCCGTAGAATCCATGAAACTGCAGGACGTCCCGGCGTGAGGCGCACCTTGACTTTTGCAGGCGCGCTCGACCGACGATCGCGAAGTGTCGGGTGAGGAAGGTGGCCCAGCAGTGCCAGCGGTGCTTGTCGATCGACCCCGCCCCAGTTCCCGAACGGTACGTGCGCGCTCAGAAAGCGGGTGGTGATCCCCCACCGCCGTGAGGAGTATTCAAACGTCGCACTCCGAAATGCTGTGGCGTTGTCAGTAGCTCCGCGGGAGACCCCCGCTCACAAAACAGCTGCTCCAGCTGCTCTATAACACTAGCGCTGTCCTGACCTCGCACGCGCCTCCTAACCGCGGGCCGAAAGGTCTACAATCGATGATTGTCAGGTAGTGGGCCCCGCCAATATGCGTCACATCCATGTCGAGGCGCTCCCTCGCTCTTGGGACACTCAGCTCCCCCTTTCCTAACGCACTGGGGCGGGGTCGATCGACAAGCACCGCTGGCACTCCTGGACCACCTTCCTCACTTGACGCCTCGCGGTCGTCGGTCGAGCTTGACTGCGGAAACACAAGGTGCACCTAACGCCAGGGTGTCCTGCAGGTTCATGGATTCTGCTGACTTCTTCCAGGACTCGTCGTGTGTGACAACTGGGCAGACGGGGCAGTTTAAAGTCGTCGAAATCCGGTCAAGGGCTGAAGGGCCATTCTGTCCCACTACGGCACGTCTTCCGGCCGTCATTCTGGCGACACGATCAGGATCCCCCGGCCAATCCGAAGGCCGTTAGAGGCATACATCACATCACATTGGTCCGCTTCCTGACGCGAGAGGCCTTCTGACCCGCGCATATGACCCCGGATCGACGCAGGAACCCTCATTAGCGCAACAACATCTCTAATCGCCGCACGTGGTCAAATAGTTGGCACATAGACTCCAGCTTGGCTTATCTAGTTTATGCTGGAATTGTATTTGGATGACCCACCGTTCGGTGCTGGGGGCCCTGACTGGTACAAGGCCCTTCCATTGCTTCAGTGTGGCCAAGTTCTCGTGTTTCCTTTCATTGTCAAAGGGTCCCGACCAGTGCAATAGGCTCTCTGTCATTCCGGCTCCCGTCCCCGTCCCTGTTGAGCAAATATTCCCCTGACCGATTCAAGGCCCTTTGTTGACAAAGAATACACCTTTTAGGCATTATGGGCCCCTGCTCGATACAGGTGTCCCGGCCAATGTAAATCGCGGGCCCGGTGCCGTTCCTGTTTGGGAAATGGGCCCCAAGAGCTCGGACCAATACGGAGCCGACTGTTCGTTGTTGGTGATCCCTGGGCGACATAGAGGAGCGCTCTGGCTTAGGGGCCCCTATCGGTGCCAGAGGTCGTCTTACTGACATTTGAGATCGCTGCCCCATGGGCGGGGCTCCGTAATGCGACCTTCACTTTGTACACTTTAGCCTTCCAATCGGGCCCTTGATCTTCGGTCTCGAGGGACTCTTTGGCTCCTCTCCAGGCCCCTAAAACACTGCTCAAACTCAGGGGCTACCTGCCGCCACAGGACTCCTGTTAGGCGCTGTGGTTCCTGACCCATACAGGAGCCTATCACTGTGTTAGAGACCCAAACACTGCAAATGGTGGGCCCCGGCCTCGAACTTCCTTGGAAATGGGTCGCACGGCTCAAGCGGACATGGAGCCGACTGTTCAGTGTTTGTGGTCTCTGGCCGACTTCGACACCCGCATTGTCTCAGGGGTTCCCAAAACGGTACAAGATGGCCTGTGGCTGATATTTCAGGTCACGGCTCCACGGGCCGCGATTCTTTATGCAACCTACAGCCAGTCCTTCGGGCCATTATGCTCTGCAACCAGGCCCCTGATTGTCGGTTCCGGTGGGCCGCCCGGGCCCTCTTCGTGCCTATAGAGCACTTCTCTTGGTCGGCTCGGGGCCCTTGCGGGCACAGGAGCCGCTGTTGAGCGCTATGGGCCCCTGGCAGATGCGAGGCCCCGACCAGTGTAAATCACAGGCCCTGACTTTATAGTTAATTGGGAAGTGGGCCCTCAGGCCTTCACCGACAAAGACCCGACTGCGGTTCTCAAGATGCCTGACCGACATATAGCCCGCATCGACTCAGGGGCTCCCCGGTCGGCGCAAAGGGTTCGCTGTCTGTTATTTGACGGCCCGTCTCCGCAGACCGTGCGTTTAAATAAGGCTAACTATCCCTTTGTGCCCTTAGACCCTCCAATCGGGCCCTTGATTGTCGGACCCGGCGGCCCTCTAGACTCTTCGGGTCTCGTCGAACGCTGCCTACGACCGGCTCGAGGACCCTCGCCAACACAGGGCCCGTGTTAGTAGCTTCGGGGCCCCGACAGACGCTGGGGCCCCGACCTATGTTAATCACTGGCTCCGGCTTTGTTCCTGCCCTCAGAACTGGGCCCTCAGGCCCAATTGGCCTGGCTTGGCAACAGGCCCAGGCTTGGAAAATGGGCCCTCAGGCCCATTCCGCCACGAAGGCGACTCTGCGTCACTGGTGGTGTCTGGCCGACAAAAAGACCCTTATCTTATCAGGCGGCCCTCTTCAGCGCACTGGGCTCTCTGACTGGCATTGAAGTGCCCGGCCCTGCGGACCGAATGCGACCTCCAGCTGGCGTTTCGGGCCCTTCGTGCCCTCATATCGGGCCCTTTCCTGCGCCAATGAGCGTCGGCCCAGCGGTTAGCATCGAGCTGTGGCCAACGGGCGGACCAAAGTGATGACGCTTCTGAGAGAAGCACCTTTGAACGCTTTAGAACACTTGGAAGATAGTCTGGGGTATTTTTGACCTATGCGTTTTTAGACTGATGATAAGATCGGATTGGCCCTTATTGTAGCGTGAATTGGTGCTGGAATCTGGTGGTGGGACTGGAATAGTAAAGGTAGAATATATAGTCTTCGTGTTTGTGTAACTGCTAACTGGGCAGATGAAACACGGCGCACGTCTCCTGGTGCTGCTTGCAGTGGCCAACGCTGTTCGGTTTTACGAAAGTTGCAACCCGGGTCATCGCGGTCCTTGATACCGAGACTGCGGGTGCGCATGTTTAAACCTATCGACATGATTTCCTTCACTAATCGGTATTGAAAAAATGAGCGTTTTCAGGCAAACATAGGCTGGTCTTGTTTGTTTTTTAGCTCATTTTCGACCCACTCTATTCGACAATTAAGAGACCCCTATTTCCTTCCGGACAAGGCGCCCCTTGAGTAGAACACGAGTGGCACATTACTTCTCCCGGTCAAAGACTGGAGGACCATTCCGTCCTACCGTTCCATCGCGGGGTATCTTCCGGCTGCCAGTCTGGGGTGACACAGAGCGGGATCCCTGGTCAATCCGGAGGCCCTTTGAAGAATACATGACATCGCATTGTTCTCCTCCCTGACTCGGGAGGCCTTCTGACCCATGCAGTTGGTCCCGGATTAACGTGGGAACCTTCATTGATGCAAAAACATCTCCGATCGTGGCATGTGCTCCAATAATTGCCGCATACACTCCAGTTCTAGATTCTTACATGTTCTGCGGAGATAGTGAAGGCCCCTGAACGTACGTTATACATCGTAATAGGGTTCTAAATTTGCATCGACGTGGCTAACCCGTGTTCGCCTTATTTTTCATTTTTTGCATGCATTCAGGACAAATTACTGACAAAAGTAATGGAAGATGGGTTTTGTCGGGCGTGCTTGCAAATCTTGTACCAACAGCCCCGACACCCAGCGTTGCATTCTCCACAGGCGGTGCGGCATCGGCCCCGCGGCTGTGACACTAAGCGATGGCCAGTGAGCAAATGAAAAGACGAAGCCATCTTCGTGAGCCATCTTCAGCAAGATGGCTGATGAACTAGGTGAATCGGCATGCATGTTAATGGTGGCACAAAAGTAAGCAAAACGCAACTTAAATCTGGAAAAGTGGGGAACCAGTTAACATTGTTGCCCCCCCCCCCCTCCCAATGAAAGGGGGGCTCTCGTCCCAGCCCCCCCCCCCCCCCTGTTTTACACATCCATGTTTTTAAGTGGAACCTGTAGACATGGGTAAACACGGGCCTGTGGAGGTTATACAAGATGCTTGGTAGAATCAGACCCTTTAAATTAAAAAATGGTGTGTGCTCAACTGCAATGTTACCTGTACCGGAATCATTCTCCCTCCCCTTCCTCCGCACCCCTGGGTTGCCGACAAGCAGGTAGATGATTTAGTACTGACATTGAGTTATGCCCATACTTTTCCCCAACGCACGCATTTCTCAGGAAATGGTTCGGAGGTTCCTCCTAGCGACCATCAACCATAAAGATAGCGCACAGATGAGGTTATCGCCAATATCTGACCAGTCTGACGATCAACCCAAGGAAAAACGGCACAGGCGTGCGCCGAAAACGCATGCTAATGTTAAAGTTCCGAGCAAAACTATCTATCAAGGCTATCTATCTATTTAATTAATACAACATGCCCAACACATGGACCACCACAACCATCAATGTAAAACAAAATGAGCCTTCAACGGAATCATTCTTTGTAACTTTAAAAACATGACGATCTTAGCATTGCTACCCCTACCAATAAAATTTCTTATACATCTTACCAGACCGCTGAGCGGCCAGGCAGCTTTAATGATGACACGGCGTCATGTGTCAAACACTTTTTCATGGCACCTCCAACGAATTTGTTGTGCAGGGCAAAACCAGCATCAAAATGTTTTACCTCTAAATGCTTCGAGCAAACTCTCGCTGTTTTAAGATAAAAGTTGTCGCTACGTCCACATTTACAAAGCCAAACTTGTTTACGCGCCTGATCCACAGGAAAACGATGAAAAGAAATATCAGAGGTACTTGAATGACTTTTAACCACAGCACAAGAAGGCATCTTCAGTTCATCCCAGGAGATAGAACATTGTAAAAAAACCCAAGATGATCACAACTGGCGTTCATGGTCATGGTGTATCTGATAGTGACTGAGTGCCCAATGACAAAAAGAATGTCACACCAAACATACCAGGAATAGCAGAAAAAAAACTTGCAAAAATTTAATAGTATGTATGTCATAAGCAACAGTATTCAAATTCTGGGCACCCAGTACAGGTTTTAATGCACGGAGAACATGATACAAGGAAATGTGATGCTTCATGCTTCAGAGCTTCGTGAAGAGATATCCTAAAATGAGTTAACAATAGCGTGCATGCAAGGAATTAAGTGCAATATTCTAAACAACCATACCGCAAATTAGGTGGGAGTCTTCCGTGTTTATTCAACACCAGTAAAAATATAACGAAAGTGAAAGTCCGTATCAATCAGTGCACGTGTGCTGACAAGTATGCACACATATGCATAATAAAGCATTCTACATATCGAGCATTTTAAATGCTACCAATCGTTCAGAACGAACTGCACATTAAATCCTTCGGACAAGGCATAGTCATGGCAACTGATCGCACCCCACGGATATGAAACGCCTGGCAACCGCGATACGCGATGCGCTAAAACGCCGCATGACGTTTAACCCCTAGATATGTATACCGCACGGAAAAATATGAAATTCTGATGAGGTTGAACTGTTCCGAGATTCAATCTCCCTTCCAGAATAGTGTTTGCATAACAAAACCGTGGATCATTCATTCAGAGTCCAACCGGGAGCCGCCAGCCCCACGCCACTAAACCACCCTCACCATTCAAAACTAACGGGTCGTGTAGCAGTCAACTGGCTAACTGAGAGGCTTCCGTGCCACTTGCGTTGTCAGATATGGTGTACGTGACGTCATGCCGGCTCTTTGTCCAGACTACCTCTTTTCCCACGCAGTTCGATATTGCCACTTTTCAATAGTGTTAAACGATACCGACGACACCCCCTGGTTCCGAGGCGAGAACATCCAAAACTGTAGATTGCGCGTGGCTTCTCGGGCTTGCCGATAATTTGTGGAACACCACTAATCACGCACTGAAGAATGTGTGGTACGCCTAACGATTACGGTCTTAGCAGCTCGTGAAACATACTCTTAAATCACCTGCTCCTCTCACGAACCACTCGCACAGCGCCCGAAATGGCGACATAAGGCAGGACGACGCAGTTTTTGCGCGGGAACTCACCCCTGAACCGCGGGTAAGCTTAAGATCGCGCAGGAAATGGATCGAGTGACTATGGGCAAAAGCGACATGATGCATCGTTGCCTACTCTCTCCCACATGGCATTCGGACAGAGGTACCCTTCCGCGGGGAGAACACCAAAGACATATCCGCGGTCCTGGAGGAAAGCGGAAGTGGAACGATTTCACTAACAGGAACAAGCGCCTCGCTCTTTTAAAATCTACATGCCCAATGAACAACCACAACTTTACTTCCGACAAGATCCATTACCGCTACTAAATTACCGTGACCGAGTAGTGCATTGTGAGGAAAATGTTTCGTGGATGAGTAGATAATCCATTACCAATCAGCGATCAACAAACTTGCGAAGATAGAGGTAAATTTGTTTTCATTGTAGCATCACGTAACCTTAATTACTCGGCTTCTTACTTTTTATAATAATAATTTTGTGCATGTGCAAAAGATTAAGCCGAGGTAAAGAAATTAAATTAAAAAAAGCCGAGGTAAAAAAAAAGCTCGAGGAAATTGTGTTGCCCCATTCCTGTGAAGTATCTGCTTTTCTTCTGGCTGTATGTAGAAAAGCCTTCTTGATTTGTGTTTATTACGCGCGTCGAGTGCAAGTACTTCTGTGTACCTGTCGATTATGTTTCCAGGGTCCATGCGGTGTTGAGCAGTGCGCTCTACGTTCGTAAGTCTGTCGAGATGCGTATGTTTTGTTTTCCTTTCTTCTTTCCACCAAATATGCATTTTGCAGACCCAGGCATAACATGTTTGATATTGAACTTCCCGTCACATGGTCTGGCCACGCCTTAGATGTGGGATAAAACCATGACTTTTCGATATTGTGGCTGTGTTGTTCACACTGTTAAGTACTCTATGATTGCAGTTGTCCCGCACGGTTAACAACTGCTGTTCCTGCTGAACGTGTCCCGTAATGTAAGCGAATCGTATTTACCACCTTATAGCGCCACCAGATTGGATTGGAACAGGTTGCGCAAGTAAACATGCACATTTCGCCCCACGTTTGTGTGAAACGTTGTGATACCAACAGTACGGTTCCAGATAATTGGTGCAAAAACTTGTTAAGTGGCCACAATTTCCTTCGATTAAAACCGTATGCGTAATCACGCTGTGAACAAAAAGAAATGTCACTACGTCTCGAATCTGAAATTTCCCATCAAACAGCGTGTGACTCGCGGAGTTTCAGTAAGCGTTTGGACCTGGTATGCTTTTAGTGCAGTAAGCGTTTCGATCTTCTGACTGACTTAGTACCTGACTGACTGACTTTCGCTGCGTAGTTACCCAACAAGTTTTAGTAAGTTTCGATTGGCAATCGATGGTTGTGAACGATCTATTGGTAAAGGTGCGATAGAATGGCTTCCTGCGGTTCCTGGGTTTGAAGTTGGATTTAGCCCACAAAAGGTACCGAAATGGGTGTACGTGGCTGCAAGTATCAATGTACCTTAGGCGTTTTATAGCCCAGACCGTGACGATAAACTGCCAAACAAACACGCCTACCACACCGCAGTCGGCGAATGACCTCGGTCGAGGTCAGACCGGGCCCCGCGAGCTCATGTTGCCGGGTGAGGGGCGCGGCATACGCGAGAGGGCGGTTCAAGCGGCGCCCAGCTCAAATACGACAGATCGAAGAGCGACTGGACGGCGAAGAAGCAGTGATAGCCGTTCACAAACGGTGTCAGTGATCATGCCCTCGAATACTGCCAGGTAGCTACGACCCCGAGGCCGTTCCCAGTGACGGTAAGCCAAACCTAGGCTCTGATGCCGAGACTGACATGGAATGCGGCAACGCAGGTGACCAGGGCTGCAATGTTGTATAATGAGTTGGGCAAGGGAGTACCTGAACAGTGGAAAATGGCCAAACCCACCCCAAAATATGACCCAAAACAGTTTCTCCCACATTTGACCTCCTCTATCAATGTGAGCAGTTAGAGCTCCAACTGAATAGGACGCTAAAACCCACGCCTCTGCAGGTGGCCTGTTGTTTGCTGGCTGTTGGCCCTCGCGCAGAGTGGGTCGCATGCGGCACCTGTCTGACCCTGAAGTCGTTCCCGGTGCACACACACACACATACACACACGCACACGTACGCGCGCACGCGCACACACACACACACACACACACACACACACACACACACACACACACACACACACACACACACACACACACACACACACACACACACACACACACACACACACACACACACACACACACACACACACACACACACACACACACACACGACGCACGCATGCACGCACGCACACACACACAGCGGCATATCCCGAGCCACGGTTGTAAGTAATCAAAGGAAACCAGTGGCGTCAAGCAGGTTAATATTTGTGCTGCGTTGCGTTGCGTCAAGCTCACGATGTCTGTATAAATCGCCACCCCATGCAGGGCTGCCAGCGGGAATTGCTAGATAATGCCGCATGTGAGACATCGGACATCTCGAAAACAGACTGGCCGTCGGAGAAGCAGAATGCATGCAAAGTGAAAAGCCTCAAATTGTGTTCTGGAAAGAAACCGACGCAAGTAAAGGCCCAAAGAGTACTGATTCCATCGACATCGAAGGCATGATGTCATCCCCGTTCCGGTCATTAATGAGATGCTCCGCACACGGCGGGGCCTTCCCCAACTTTTGCGGAATCTAGTATTACGATTCAGCTTCGTGTGAACAGATACACCTGAAAACCGTCGATGATTCACATTTCATGAACCCTGGGAGGATTGCAGTGCACGTGTTAGTAGGCTTCGCTCGTTCAAGGAAAATGTGGTCCATATCCTACCACTCTGTTCGCAACTCTGCCATGAACAGTCACAGGTACCCAGACCGTTCTCAGACTCCAGGAGCAGTACAGTTCAGTGCAGTTCATCTGCCTGTCGGTTCATGAAGTTAAGCCTCAGATCGAGATAGCTCCGCGTTGCCTGGTTTGAACTGGCCGCTCAGCAAACCAGCGTTCGTCGATCAGAGCGGGTCGCCGTAGAGGTACACATACCGGTCAAGAGATGGCGCCATTGTAGTGACAGGGGTCTTTCGAAGAGCTGTGAGCGTGGTGTTTTTTTACTTGCTTCTGTGCGTATAACGTCCTGGGGTTAAAGCTCTATTTTTCCCGGATATGAGGATGCCGGCTTTTTCCTCCCTTTTTCCGTCGTGACTTTGCCAGCATGGTTAAGACGCTGGACACGCGAACACCCTCTCGTGATAGCACTGTTGAAAATTATGTTTCACGTTTGAAGATATTAAAGCAAATATCCAATATGATGAAACAAGCTAACTTGTAGCAATTGGTGTGCTTTTAAAGTGCAAAACACCGCTCTAAACGGCACCATTCTCTGTTTAGTAACTATGCTCCGCAATGGTCATGATTTGATCACATCACCATACTTTGTCCAGCATTGACTGAGATCCAATTAATGGCCGTTATATCTGGAAATCGCGCTAACGAACGTCAGATATTAGCGCATCGACAAATATATTGTTCTTGGTCCTGCTTGTCAAATAGCTTATGAAATGGCAGGATTTGAATGACGTTGTTATGACGCCATGAATGCCCAAGTGACTTTGGAATGGTACTCTCCCCCCACCCCCGATATACATTTCCTCATTTTCGCTGGCGCATAGCTCGGAAACAAGATTCGGGTTAGATCTTAAGAAGAGCGAGAATATGAACAGCACCGAGAGGTGTTCAAGACCGCTATTTCAGTTCAAAACCCCATATAGATGTGGTACACTCCCTTAAAGCATGGGTGGTGCCCGGTCGGCCGACACTGCCCGATACTCGTTGCGCAATCGCTCGTGGTTCGGCCCGGCTGCTGACCTCGGCCTGTCCCTGCAAGCGCGAAAACGAAGAGGTGCCGGCCCACATCTTGTGCTCGCATGTTCAACTGCAGTGGTGCATTCGCTATCATAGGCTGACATGTTCTCCGATTAATTGGGTTGCATCATTTGCTCATGGGTTCAATGCGTGGGCATATGCTCCTTTTTCCTTAGGGCTCCCTAGCCTCCAACATTTTTCTGAAATGTCACAAAATGTATTTTTAGCTGCATTATCACATATAACCTTTCTTCCTTGGGTGTTATTTGCTGGTCATTATTGCTCTGCTAGTCAAAGGAGGAGCATTTCATGGACCATTGGAACGTGAACAAGAATGATCCAAACACGGTGAGCTAACTCCGCTGACAAGCCCACATTTGTGGTAGGTTACTTGGTCGGACCCTGACTTCGGCACCTTTTCCCAATTGTTCACACAAATCAATGCCTCTACCCTAAAAAAGCCTTTCGATTCACATGTAGAAGTAGCTTGCGGGGCATACAAAGAGGCCAAACGACCTGATCGGTTTGAATTATGCCCCATACTAGCGGCGTTGTTAGTAAGCGTTTCCGCAATGGTACTGTGCTGCAAGCGGGCCCTGTTAGTATCGTAAGTAAACTCTACAGGTACTGAATGCCTATGAAGAGGGACGCTCCGATGACATAGAAGTTTGTTTTGCCGTGTCTGTGTCAGAGATGCAACTAAATGCTTGTAATAAGTTTTGAAAATGTTCAATGGAAAGAGATCTGACATCGTAGCTGTCCATAAAAGCATAATCTTGCTTATAGACAGCTAACTGCAATTTTGCCAGCTTATGCGCCTATACAAACATGTTTTCAAATCTCTGTGAAACATTTCCAGCCGAACATCGCTGATAAAAGGTGTGTGGTTCGAAATGAAAACGAAAATTTTTAAAAGTAGACAAGAGCTTTGCAACTTAATCCTTTGTGAAAACGGCTAAGATAAATGTTTAGTGAGATCAGCTTCCACTTGTGTTATCTGAAGTACATGAAGAAACCTGTCCCCTTGTTATAGAAAACGACTGGGCCCAAAGAGAGCGAGGGGGTATTTCATTAGGCAGCTTATTCATGATTATCTGGTGACGACAGATCGACCAGTATCCCTGTGGGGAAACAAAATAGTCGCCCGTCGCATACACGTAATGACAAGATATGATAACCTGCACCAAGACGTGTGATGACACCATGTATATGATCACCAATGCATATGTTGACCGGCTTTGTCTGGCAACAGGGGTGATGACGCGCCTTGTACGTCACCGACGAAATTTACTACAGTCTTAATTGTCACCCAGAGTGCAATCTCCCTGAAACTGTTGCAGAATTCCTCCAAATGCGCCACACCACACAAAACGAATGTAAATGAACTGCAAAGGGTTGTACACGTCACAAGCATCCAGATCAAAAGTGTTCGTTTCGAAAGTTTCGCTTTTCGGTGAAACCCAGTTCTCGCGGTTGGGACGTGGATATCAGAGCACGAGGGCCGGCGCAGCGGGCTCCTAAAGACCGGCGGGCGCGTCAGCCCTGCTCAAACCTAAGACTTCACATGTGAGGAAAAGGCGAGAACATGTACGGCCGGCCCCCGTGTGATGACTTTAAATGGCTGGTAACAAATACCATGCACTATTTCATCACTTGGCCATTACCACTGTCGGAAAAAGCGCTTGGTGCGGTTTAATCCGTTCATAAAATCCCTCCACTTCCAGTCTTTTTAATGTGACATACTACGTTGCCGTGGTTTGGAAATTCCTGTGTAGTTTCATACTAACCCGCGCCCCAACGGGCTCTCAGACAAACGCGCCTGGCGGGGCAAATTGACTTCTCCTCTGGGATCTCGAGCTTTCAGCGCCGTATGAGAAAACAAATGAACCTTTTTGAAGGTCTCGACACGAGGTCACGAAGAACGCACACCAAGTTTTTAACTCTGGGCCAAACTGTGAGGTCACCAGAGGCCACGAAAGGTGAAAACGGTTATTTAAATAGATACGGTCAATATCTATGTTAACTCGCCGAGACGGATATTGAGGGTACGGAAGTGCGCGTTTAGACTGGCCGAAAGTCACTCCGATCAATTATATTCCCTCACATGGATCACGTCAGACCGGGTCATCGTTCAAAATTGTTGTACTAGTAGTCAACAAGAATCACGCATTTCTTCGCGATGTGCTTCTAAGTTTCTTTTATTGCATGCAGCTGCGAGACAAAAAAAATCCCAGTCACAAAAATCCCATTTTAGGGTGACCTAGAGATTATCTTAGGTCAAATCAGATGAAATGGGTAGACCAACCAAATGACAAAAATTAGAGTGTTAACCGGGTCCATGTTAACAGTATGGTACTTTTCTGTGGTTACGAATAATGTATGGCACATCTACAGGTATTCAAGATCGCATGACTATTGTGCACATACACAAGACATGATCCCTTCGACGCTTGGCAATGTTTTTGTCACAAACTGAGAACACTTACGTTGGTGCATAAGATGAGACGTCACCAGCTTTACGAACACGATAAGGAGGTGGGTAAACGCGTCGCATTCGTTCATCTAATCTCCGTGCTACTGGCAACATAAGGTCGACTTTCAACGACCTTATGTAGCCGTGCATGCCCTCACGTGATCTAATGCGACCTTGTTATGCATTGGAATGGTATCACGACACGTTTTCAACGGGAGTGTATTCTAATTCCGGGTCCAAAATTAGCTCCATAAAGCTGCTTATTTCGAGTTTAAAATGTGTTTTGCGGAAGGTACCCATACAGAAAGGTCATAACCTGGGCCAAGCGTATGTACTCGGTGGTCACGTGATGGTTGCGCATGTAGATACTCATGTTGCATAAAAACACCAAAAGTGCACAAAAACACGCACAAATTGGCATCATTTACGAAAATAGCAAAAAC